GACTCAAAGGCACTTAACAACAACAGTCCTCACTGTTGGAAAATCACCAATTAAAAACCAGTACTTCAGAAGAAAGAAAGGAAGGAGTGGAACAATAAAGAGGAATGGAGGAAAGGAAGGAGGGAGAGAAGCAGTCAGGCAGACAGGCAGGCAGGCAGGCAGGCAGGCAGTAAGCAAAATTCAATATTTTAACTTGATAAAAATGGAATGAAATTCACCTGGTGTAATTTTGGAGAATGCTGACACTTTATCACCTTCAAAACTGTTGAGACTAATAAATGAGATGAGATTTACCGATAAGTAAAATACACTATTTTAGTTCCAGAAATATGATTTATTTGAAGTATTGAGGTGTTTTTTTGCAAGATAGAATGATGATCATTTGTTTCACATTGCTTTCAGGTTTACAAAATTCAATGTTCTTGACAGCAAGTAGACCATTACAGATTTAAATCTTAAAGTCAAGAAAAATCAAAGATTCAGTAGTTTTAAAATCCTTTAGTTAAAAAAAAAAATTTAAGTACTTTTACAGAGGAAGAACTGTCCATTAGAAATGAACTGCTTTCTATTAGCACACTGCCTCAGCACCACTGAAGTCCACCTGAATGTGTGATTAGTCCTTAAGCATTCCACTCCCATTGTGATGATGATTTTGTCTTCAACTTGCCCTTTCAGCATATATTGAAATGGAAATGGTGAAACTATCAAAGTGGGAAGAATTCAAGGATCTTTTGCTCTGTTTGGTTCTTCCCCTCATTTAATTTTATTTAATTATCTTACATTCAATTTCCAACTTTACAGGAGGGCAGGCCCTGTTCAATGAAGTGCAAAGAAAGTCCCCCAAGCCACACCACTGCAGAATCAGAGACTGACCCACAGGTATTTTTGTTTTGTTTTAGTAATTCTAGAAAGCACTTCTTGATCCTTTTGTTTCAGCAGCTCTTCTCTCTTCTCTTGGATCTAGCTGTAGTTGTTGTTGTGAAGTTGATTCTGACTCTTAGTGACCTTGAATAGAGTTCCAAGGAGCAGCTGATATCTTTGAACCACCAACCTAATGGTTAGCACTCCAGTGCTTATCCTACAGTGCCACATCAGGGATAGTACATGTGCTTGTACAAGAGAGTACTTTTACCCAGTGTCTTGAGGGTTTGCAATGACTAGTTTGCCTGTCACCCAACTATTGGCTTAATTATGTGAGGTCCTCAGATGATCAAGTGTGCATGAAACACCCTTGACTCCACCTTACCACGAAATTAAAAACAAAGCAAAGCAAAAAAACACGTATTCCTATGGAACAAAGGAAATTTACAGAAGTTTTTGTCAAGTAGATAAGGTGGAAAAAAGTTCAGGACTCCTCAAAAACAACAAATAAACATCCATCAGAAGCATAATTCAGAAATTCTACTTATATATTTCTATATTTGACCAAAAATATTGTATCATGAAAATTTTACTGTTTCTCTTATTATTTTAGAAAATGTATCTGAACCTTCATGTCTGTTGAATATGAGTTGAATACTTTGACCTATTTCAAAATAGTTCTTGAAACAGCTTGCCTTTAGCAGATAAAATATTTAATATACTTTCCTGAAGCTGGAGTTATAATCTGCCATTAACTTTCTTTTTTTTTTTTCTTCACAATTTCCACAAAACATTTAATTTACTGATTTTTATTACATTCTTTGAGCCTTACAACCTTTATCCTCCTCCATTTATTCTTTCCCCATTAACAGAAACTCAGTGCTCCCTAAGGTCCCTAATTTAACTTTCAGGTTACTATTGTCAAGTTGATCCCATATAAGTAAGTCTTACAAGAGCATAATTCTCAAGGCAGACATTCATTATTAATTAAGTTAAACTAGGTTTGGTTTTAAGGAGACAACAGGGGATATTTTGGTTTAAAGTTTAAATTTTATTCAGGGCAACAGTTTCAGCGGTTCATCTAGGTTTCATGGCTCTAGATATTCTGGATTCCATGAGAATTCGAAATTCTTTTCCACATTTTCATGGTCAATATTGGTAGCCAGGTTGCACTGAGTTCTTTTCTCATGGAAAAAGAAGCAGTTGTTCTTGGAGACAATTAGCTCCTCCTATCCCTGATTCTCTGTTGTCTTAGTGTGGTGCTGTGGGTTAATGCGCTATACTCTAAAGTTGGTTTGAACTGCAAGGTTGGTGGTTCAAACTCACCAGGCGCTCCTTCGAAAACCTATGCAGGAGGGTTATGATTCGAAACAGACACATGGCACTTAGCACCGGAAACAACAAGAAGCAAACAAATTGTTAGACAAATTAATTAGGATGACCCTTGAAACAGTGACTATAATCTCCAAATGTAGGAACCAAATTTCATGAGGTATTTGGTTATAAGCAAGTGGTGATGGTGATCCTGTGCCGTGTAGTCCGTTCCAACTCATAGTGTCCGTTCCAACTCATAGTGTTTCCCAGGCTGTTAACGGGAGCAGAAAGCCTCATCTTTCTCCCTTGGAACAGCTGGTATATAAGTAGCCTCAACAAATATTAGGAGCACTTACGGCAATGTATGATACCCACAGGGCAATTCACAGGAGAAAGATGAAGTTTTCTGTTCCCATAAGCAATTTACAGTCTAATAAACCCTTTACAGGGTTGCCATGAGTTGGAATCTACTTGATAGCAGTGGATTTGATTTTTAATTTTGGTTGTAAATATATCTATCACAAAACTTTTGTCTACTCAACTTTTTTATATGTGTACAATTGATTGACAGCAATTACAATAATGGGCTATGCAATCATACCCCAATCAATGGGACATTTCCATCTTCATATAACAAAACTCAGTACTCTCCAAGCAATAATCCCCCCCCTTTTCTATCCTTCTCACCCTTGTAACCACCAAAAAATGGGGGGGGGGGATCCTTTTCTTCCATTTTTATATAGGTGAGGTCATATAATATTGTCCTTACGTGATTGACTTATTTCACTCAGCAAAATGTTTTCAATTCCATCCACATTGTTGCACACATGAATATTCCCTTTATTTTACTGATTAACTAGTATTCTGTTGTATGCAAGTACCATATTTTGCTTATGCATTTATCTTTTGATGGGAATTTAGGTTGTTTCCACCTTTCACCTGCTGTGAATGAGAAAGTGGTAATGAACTTTGGTGTACACTATTTATGCCTCTGTTTTCAAGTCTTTTAGGTAAATATCTAGAAGTGGAATTGTAGGGTCATATGGCAGTGGCACTGTAGGATAGGCACTCAATCACAAGGCCAGTTTGAACTGCACGTTCAAGGTTCAAACTCACCAGTTACTCCTCAGAAACGCTATGAGTCAGAACCTTCTCAATGGCATAACGCTTAACTAATGGTAGTTCTGGATTTTTGAGGAATAGTCACACTGTTTCCCACAACGGATGTACCATTTTGCACTTCCACCAGTAATTAATTTGTTGTTGTTAAGTGCCGTCTAGTCAGTTCTGATTCATTGTTGCACTGCATTGGGTTTCTGAGCAGTGACTATTGGGTTTGAACCAACCTTGTGATTCACAGTTCAGTGCTTGCCTACAGTGTCACACCAGGACTCCAGTAATGAAGAAGAGTTCTAATTTCTTCATATCCTGACCAACATTTGTTATTTTCTAGGTTTTATTTTATCTTAGCCACTCTTGTTGTTATTATATGCCTTAGGGTTGGTTCTGACTCATAGCAACCCTTTATATGGTTTCCAAGGAGCAACTGATATGTTTGAAATCACAACCTTGCAGTACCATACTAGGAGTCCTTAGCCAGCCCCTGAAAGTGAAATGGCATCTCATTGTGGTTTTTATTTGGTTCCCTGTCATGACTGTGAAGCTGAGCATCTTTTCATGTGTTTAGGGCCTTTTGAAGGTGCTACTTCGAGAAACATCTATTCAAGTCCTATGCTCATTTTGTCTTTTTGTTGTTAAATTCTCAAATATGCATATACACATATATATGTATGTTATTCAATTCTTATCAGATATGTAGTTTCCAAAGATATTTT